TGCAAAGCAGTAAAAGTTTTTTTAAAAATTTTAAATTAGTCAAATTACAAATGGCAGCTACTCTTAACTACAGAAAATGTTTAAAAAAAAACATACAAAAATGTTTCATAAGGCTTTAAGTTTTTTATAAGATAAAGATTGTATTAGATTATCTGTTGGATTACGTATAAGCATTACTATGATAAATGAAATGTATGGTATTGATAAGGATGACTAATCCATAAGAGCTATTGTTCTTAAATTATGTGATAGGCTCTGAATTTTAGGTTTTCTTTATGTTTTCATTACTTACCATATAAGAGGCAATTTGGCTATCAATGAAATTTCTTATTTAAGTTCTGACGAGTTGTTTTCTATTCTTCTCAAACAGCAGCTTAGAAAAAATGTAACTGAAGTAGAAACTGTCTTGTCTTAAAGTGCTAGTAATATTGGCTTCTTGAATTTTGATATCAACACAAGAGAAGTACTTTTCTGTGGACGGGGACACAAATTTTGATGATTTTTAATTATATTTTGGATAAAGAGCCGTAATTGCAGAAATTAAGTGTCAGAAAAAATATGCAACAAAAATTATGTTTCAACAATTCGAAGAAATACCATTTACATTGAAAATAACAGACCAAATTATTTCAATTTCTTATAACAACACCCCGGGAAAAAATATGTTTATTTTGACGTTATTCAAATTGCTCAACTATTTCAAGTGTCTCTATAAACTAAAAGAAAAATGTGCACTGCAGATGTTAGTTTTCGCTCATAGATAAGATATTATAAAGCCAAAAAAGGAGTATTGTCTATCAGCAACTTTTGTTCAACTTTTATAGTTCATTATAATATATTTTACCCTTTTTTACTTAACCTAACATGAAACTTTCTAAAGTATATCAAATTCAAACAAGGCTAGTTTCTTAGGTGTTTATCTTTATACATGCCATTTCAAATGATTTTAATTTCTCATGTTTTAAAAAATTTAGTTTATTTCAATGTATTCATTCTCTTTCCTCTCTCAAAAATGCAGAAAATAAGGACAAAAAAAACATTAATGGTTGCGGACCTCCATCCCCCTAAACATTTTCTGAGCAAAATTTTAGACTTACATTTTATGTGATATACATGATATTCTGTTTACAACATCTGTCAGCCGTATAGAGAAGTTCGACTCTCATAATGATATAAGTTCTGAATTCGATGAAATTTATGAGCATTTCGATAAAATTGCTATAGTAAAAAAGTGTAAAGAACTAAATAGAGGAATTCAACTTGAAAGTATCAAAAAGTTTTAATTCTTCAAATATTTTGTTTCAGACAATTAGAAGGCATTTGCCATCTGTCAAGACTATTCTTGCAATTTTGAATAATTGTAGCCAAGGAAACAAGAGACGAAAAATGTATCATTTGTTTTACATGCATTCCTTGCTATTTAAATTGACTTCTGTACTGATGTTTGATGATGATTTTCCCCATTTCAATTTGTTGAATTTTGTACTTCTCTTTCTTTATCATTTCCCTCAATCATAAATCTTAGTTTTAATGTCCAATCAAATATTCTTCATCACACATTAACAAATGGCAGCTATGTATACATGACGCATGGCTGCGCTACTCTTAACTACAGAAAATGTTTAAAAAAAAACATACAAAAATGTTTCAGAATGCTTTGAATATATTAAAAGATAAAGATTGTATTAGATTATCTGTTGGATTACGTATAAGCATTACTATGATAAATGAAATGTATGGTATTGATAAGGATGACTAATCCATAAGAGCTTTTGTTCTTAAATTATGTGATAGGCTCTGAACTTTAGGTTTTCTTTATGTTTTCATTACTTACCATATAAGAGGCAATTTGGCTATCAATGAAATTTCTTATTTAAGTGCTGACGAGTTGTTTTCTATTCTTCTCAAACCGCCGCTTAGAAAAAATGTAACTGAAGTAGAAACTGTCTTGTCTTAAAGTGCTAGTAATATTGGCTTTTTGAATTTTGATATCAACACAAGAGAAGTACTTTTCTGTGGACGGGGAAACAAATTTTAATGATTTTTAATTATATTTTGGATAAAGAGCCGTAATTGCAGAAATTAACTGTCAGAAAAAATATGCAACAAAAATATTGTTTCAACAATTCGAAGAAATACCATTTACATTGAAAATAACAGACCAAATTATTTCAATTTCTTATAACAACACCCCGGGAAAAAAATGTTTATGTTGACGTTATTCAAATTGGTCAACTATTTCAAGTGTCTCTAAAAACTAAAAAAAAAAATGTGCACTGCAGATGTTAGTTTCCGTTCATAGATAAAATACTATAAAGCCAAAAAAGGAGTATTCTCTATAAGCAACTTTTGATTAATTTTTATAGCTCATTATAATATGATTTACCCCCCTTTTTACTTAACCTAACATAAAACTTTCCAAAGTACATCAAATTCAAACAAGGCTAGATTCTTAGGTAATTATCTTTATACATCACATTTCACATGATTTTAATTTCTAATTTTTAACAAATTTAGTTCATTTCAACGTATTAATTCCCTTTCCTCTCTCAAGATTCGGAAAATATGGACAAAAAAAGGCAAATTAATGCTTGCGACCCCCTCCCATAAACATTTTCAGAGAATATTTAGGACTTACATTTTCATAAATTACAATCCTCATACAGGTAAGTGTTCTTTCGTTTTCACCGAATGAATAAAAGCAAAGTTTCAGCACATACTTTTTTATTTTTCTATCAGAAATTTTGGCGTACTACGTATGTTTGTGTCTTATTGACATAATGTCAAATCTAAGTTGTTTGGGCTCATTACTTGTGCAATATGTATAAATGTGCATCGTTAGTTTATACTTTTGAACAATTTTACTGAAAATAATAATGGTTTTTCTACAATCTATTTTTAAAAATATTACATTGTCATTGAATGCAAAAACGTTCTCTCAAATTTATTCAGTTTCTACAAAAAAAAAACGCTTTCTGTAAAAAAATCTGCAAAGAAATGTCTCTTTTGCTTTGTTGCTTTTGAGTCAGATTGTGTGACAGGGAATATTTAATACTGATTGCAAAAAGATATAAACATCTCTTAAAAAAATTCTTTTTAACGTTTAAATTATTCAACAGCTTAATTCCATTGACGTAATTTTATTAGCGTGCTTTAAATTTGCATTGAAATTCTCACGAAGACACGCATATAATATTGTTCATTCTCTTCTTTGAGTCACGCAACGTCAACAAGAGTTGTGAATTTTTAGGTTTGAGAAGCAGTTAGAGAAGTCATAGACATAGATGTGGCTCTTACACGCTTTTTTAGAGATTGTTCTTTATTCATCATGTTTATAATAAATTGTTTTTCGTCAGGTATCAATGAACCCAATTTATATCATCTTTTATGCCTTAACATACATCCAAAAATACTTTAGAAAATTCTCTATGCATGATGCCTTATAATATATTTCTTGCATTTACGCAGCATAAAAGAAACGCTTTACCTGCTGCTTTAATATTGAAATTTTAAAAGTTGTTTGTGTGGGAGAATATATTAGTTTTTTCTTTTAGCAGCTGAAAAGCTGTTTTGTAAATTTCCAATTGTTTATATTTACAATGTATGGATTTCTGCAAAGTAAGAAATTTCATTATAATTTTGCTATTGTTCAACCGAATAGTTTTTGATATATTACAGAGTTAAACTTTCACTAGTTGACAGAGGTCATTTTAACAAAATATGTTGTCATGTAGCAGTGTAAATTGTTTGTTACAAAAAATTCGTTGCTAATGTCCTTTTCTGTGGACATTTAAATGTCACTCAATCTATTGACTTCTCTTCAAACCATGCAATCACAGATCTGATGCAGAAAAATAACTGAACAACAAACACACTAAGAAATCTATTTGAAAAATAAGGCCAAAACTCCTTTGTTAAAGATTGACTGTTTTTTTGGTTTCGCGTTCATACTTTGCCAGCAAAGTAAGAGATACTTCAAAGAGTGACTTACTACAAAAACCAACCTATGCAACTATCTTTATCAAGCAGCTATGAACATGCCACAAAGAAGACTAATGATAGCGCTTGTTCAACACGACAATATCATAGAGCATGACACGTCATTTAAAAACAGATGTATTTATTTATATACTTTGTACTGCATGTCACAAGGTGGTTTATTGTGCTGCTATCGAAAAAATGCTTCCGCCATTACCTTTATGAACATCTGAAGAATACATTACCACCGACTTTATCTTCTACTTCCCGAAACAGCTTGAGACAACAAATAAAGTTGATATTTTACGGAAGATCTTATCTTGTATTCAATATAGATTCACTGGAGGATGTTACTGATTTTGACAAACTTTGAATAATTTATGGCTCGAGAAAAAAATTCAAAAATGTCCCAGTTAACGACATAGCAAGCTTTCCTAGCGTTGATAGATCTTTAAGCCAGGGCCGGATTAACATTTTGCGGGGCCCATGGCATAATATCAGTGCGGGGCCTTGCTCCAACCCCTGTGTTTACCAAAATGCAATAGAAAACTGTTTTTTTAACTCAAACAATTAAACCTCGTATTTTGGCCTATTTAAACCAATACGTTGAATATAATTCCAATTTACAATCACGTACGTATACCAAACATTACATACCAATATTAAACAGACTAATATAATAAACACGATAAAAAAAGACGTAAAAGGTTTTACTGTGCAGAAGTGTTAAGCCTTATAAACGTTATGCTTACGGTATTTCATAAGAGCAAAATCATTAATCAGGGATGACATATCAATACTACGCAGAACATCATTTTCAATACTCAGAAGAGCAAGGCTATTTAGTCGTTCCTGTGTCATGGTTGAACGAAGATGATCCTTTATTAGCTTTAATTTCGAAAACGACCGTTCACCAGAACAATTTGATATCATCATACTGAGGTAAATGCGAAACACAATAACAGTGTTTGGAAATACAGTTTCCAGGTTATTTCCCACAAGAAACCTGTATATACGCAGTTCTAGGAGTCTACGTTCACTTTGATGTCGTCATCATCATCGGATGTTACATCGATGTCATGGTCTTCACTAGGCTGAGCAGAAGATCCAATTCGAGCTGAAGAATAATGAGGTGCAGCTGCATGACTCGCATCTAATGCTCTTTTCACGAATTCTGTGTTGAGAAAGCTAGAAAACTGGAGCAATTCATCAGCCAAATTGACTTCGAGGTCAGTGGAAAATGCTTTTTGCAATCTTTGTGCGTTTTCCAACACGTCTTCAGCTGGCAGATCTGTAAGCTTTCGCAGAAAGCCAAACTTTTCAGCAATGTTGATGTAAGCACTCAGTCGTTTTCGCAACTCAGCATCCAGACTATCGATTATTACAAGGAAAGTACCTGTGCGAAACTTGTCGGCTGGAATCTGCAACAAATCAGGTGCTGATCCTGGCTCGTCGTTACGACGATTTCGTTTACGCACGCGCTTGATCTCTTCTTTATATTGATCACATTCACTGAGCTCCTTTCCTTTGGCTTCAAATTCTTCAAATCTGGTTCGCAGCGAAAGGACAAAGTCAATCAGCGATTCATATAATGCAACAGCAGTGTTGAGATCTTGATCAGCTAATTGCAGGATCTGACTTGTTCTCTGAAATCGTTGCAAGATTTGATGCCATAATGCTGCCAGAATTCCAATTTCAAGCTGGGCCATATCAGACGCAAGACTATTGGCTTCATTTTGGCTTCAGGCTTCTCATCTTGATCATCATGGATCTCGTCTAAAGCAGCATTAATTTCCTCGTATCCTATTACTAGAGCTTTTGTAGCATCTGCACGTGCTGACCATCGAGTATCAGACATACGTTTAACCGTTGGAAGTCTCTTGCTTGAAAGTTGGTCGGTTAAAACTTTCCAACGATGCGTTGAAGCAGCAAAGAAAGAGTACAATCGTTGGAGGAAGTTGAAGAATCTTGATGCTTCTTGACAACAACTGGCAGATGATTGTCCAACAAGATTAAGGGAATGTGCAACGCAGGGTATGTACTGTGCTAGGCTACAATGTTGCTGAATAATGGCCTGCATACCATTATATTTCCCACTCATATTGCTTGCATTGTCATATGACTGGCCGCGGCAATCCGAAATATTTATATTATTGGTTTTCAAATAATCTAGTAGCCTTTCAGCTAGCAATTTTCCTCTATGTCCACGTATGTTAAGGAAAGATACAAATCGTTCGACAGGACCAGAGGGTAAAACGTATCGAAGAATGCATGTCAGTTGATCAACGTGGGAAATATCTGGGGTAGAGTCTACACAGACGGAGAAATACTTTGCAGCTTTAACTTCTGTAAAAATCTGCTCGCGAACTCGAGTTGCCATCAGTTGGATGAATTCCTCGCAAATAGTCTCTGAGAGATAGGATGTGTGACCCTTTCCCTTATTTGCATTACGGTTGATGTGTTGCGCTAGAAATGGATCGAACATCGATATAAGTTCTAATGTTCCCAGGTAGTTACCGTTTTTTGGTGATCCAACGATCTCATCAGTGCCGCGAAATGGTAAACTTCGCTCGGAAAGGTAACGGATGGTTTCTGTTACCCGCTCAAGTACTGCCCGCCGATAGTTACGCTCATCACTGGCCTGTGTGACCAGTTCTGAATCAATACGGCAGCCAGCATCGCTACGTTGGAGTAGCTGAAAAACAGCATTACGGTGCGCTGAACTTTTCTCATGTCGTGGAATTGACTGGGATGCGCGTTTTCAGTCATTATAACCTTGTTTTCCTAAAACGATGCTGTCAGTCATGAGTTTACACGCAAAACAGAACACGACATGTTTGGATGGTGAATAGCAGAGCCAGTTTTGAGGATGTTGCTGTTTTGTAAGCTCATGTGTGTACGTGAACAAAGTTTTTTGACATCGTCTATTGTAAGCATCTCCCTCATATCTTGTTGATGTTGCGCTGAAATCGGCATCGGAATTTCTGCACTGACTACTCCCTTGGCCTGCCCAGTGCTCTCTCATATTGTCAGAAATATCAGTAGGCCATAATCCCAAATCACAACAGTATCCATCATTGTTATCAGTAGAAATAGACGTATCACCAGATGTCAACTCCTTGGATGTGTCGCCGTGTCGGGTTCCTCAACTGCTTCTGCCATTGTTGTCATCGCTTCATCTGCAGCAGTCAGCTCAGAAGAACCTTCATCAGCCTTCGGAGGAAACAGTTCCGATATTTTCGGCATTTTACTTAAAACTTTACTTTCCCGTAAAATTCGTTCATCCTTTGCCTTTCGTTTTGCTGCTCCAGATGCATATTTGCGATTTTTGTCGCGGTTGCGGTTGCCACCCCCACTGGTGGAACTCATTCTTTAATTGTTAACTATATTATAGCAATTAGCAAACCTAAAAATTTGAAAGTGACGTTTTAGTAATATTTACTTTCACAAAAACATAGAAGGACGATTTGACGGTTTACTATCGCACATACAGAATTGTGAGAAAATAAATGGATCTCCTATCCCATTGCAAAATATAGCCTATATTTTGCCAGTGAATAATTGATACTTGCAGTGTTACCGTTTTTGGAATTGGGCCTCACGCTTTTATATTTCAATTAGTCTTGGCCGTTTCGTTTTATTTCCCTTTTTTTCTTTTTCCAAAGGCAAGCGCGGGGCCCCCAGAAGCGCGGGGCCCGCGGCATATGCCGCTTCTGCCATATAGTTAATCCGGCACTGCCGCACACACTAGCATGATCAAGCTCAGTACACAGGTTCTCAACAAGTATTAGTGTAACTCAACACTTGCATCATAAAGAATAATTTCCGTCACATCAAATGTCACTAACACACCATAATTTGCTCAATCTTTCTTATTAGTACAAATAACCTATTCATATTTTCACATGATAAGAGTATTTGAAAGAGCTTATAATCTACATTGCTGTTGTAAAATCATTAATTCATGTATGCAGGATAATTTCATGTTTAAATTTTTTTTTAAAATCGTTGTCTACAGATTATAACATGCTTATAGGAATATCAGTCGCCCAAATTTATCGATGTTCCAACAGCCTTGATGTATATTACCAACAAGCACCTAACATTCCACCAAACTTACCGTACTTATGATTGAGAAAATAAATCATGAAGGATATAACATACCATGACAGCATACAGTAAAATTGTCCCCATATTATCAAAAAATGCCCTTGTATGAAGAAAGTAGCCAGCATCCAAAACAATTCTAAATATGAAATACATATCTGTAGAATAAATTTCCATAGTTTCCATAATTAATTTTTTCTCTAACATGTATTCATGATTGACTTGCAACTTCCATATTATTGATTTGATTTAGTTTGTTGGGCTCAGATCAGTTTGGGCTCAGACTAATGCCAATGTTACATGGACCAATAACTGCACATGTTTTATTGCTTTTGTAAAATCTACTCGAATCACACCAACTAAATGTTGTTATACCTTAGTTTGAAACACATTAAGAATAGTCATAGTTGTTGAATCATCAACACTAGCCTTGGTGACTTCAACAATATTATGATTTATCCTCTTTATAGTTTCTGGTGTTCAATATTTTGAAAATGTCATTGTTTGACAAAGCAAGTGAATCAATCAATTTAAAAGACAACTTACGGTGGCAACATGAACAGAAAGAATATGGTTGAGTTGAAAAATGGAATATCTGCAATACTTTTGAAGTTGGAATAGCTTTAGAAAATAAAAGATAGTTAAATGAACAATTTACAAACACTCAGTTTAAAATTTTAAGCTTTGCTTTTTGTCATTATTTTAGTCTTATAGCACGATCTTACTGTAAAATTAATCCAAGAAGAATGCCAAGCAAAATAACCATGCTGAAAGATATAATTGAGAATGAATTCCTCGAACACACTAACACTGATAGCAGGTTTGGATAAATGTAACTTGTAGCTCACCATGATTCAGGTACAACTTTTGACAATCTTGAGGTCATATGAAATCCTATATTAAACCCAATGTAAATTATTAACAGCTTTTCTAGTACAACCCTCAAATTTTACCTTGGCATGCCAAAGCAAGTGGCTATTTTCATACATTTTGCCAAGATAAAAATACTAAAATTGTCCAACATTGTGATATTTTTCACTTTAATTTTGAAGGTTGCTATATTTATTACACATGCATTATAAATTTTTATGCATAAATTACAAATTGAATACATTGAAACAGACTTTTACAGGCATTATACTATTTATTTTTTAAAATTGTAGCGACAGACTTGCCGAGCGGAAATCGAATTCGTGTGATAAAAATTAATGCCCAACATAAAGTTCTGATTAGAGCCATAGAAATAGACAAAAAAAAAGAATTGTAAAGTTAAATGATGTCTTGAGTAAAGACGATACGTCACAATAAATTTAACTTTACAATTCGTTTTTTTTTGGTCTATTTCTATGGCTCTAATCAGAACTTTATGTTGGGCATTAATATTTATTTTTTAAGTATGTTTTCCTCATATGTAGTAAGACTACCAGAAACATGGTTTTCAACCAAATTCTAGCAAAAGACTCAAAAGTAAATACATGAAAATATTATATTTGAAATGAACACTTAAATTTTTATTGCATTTCGTGCTTCCTGGCTGTAATTAGCAAGATTTCAGACTGTCATGATGACAAGCGACATATTGCTTCTAACTAATTTAGTCGGTCAACGTACGTCGATTTTTATCAAGTAAATAGAAAAAGAAACATACTCTTCATTCCCTATTATAGGAAATGGTTTGCTGAAAAAATTTCAAGATCATTCATACGTAGCGTAGTATCGCTCTACGTGGGAGAAGTCTGAGTTATGTAACTTTATTTTGTATTTAATTTTAATTGCAGTTTCGTAACAGCATTTACTTGTCGCACAATAAAGGTTTACTTGTTCAATAAAGACGAACACTTCATTGAATGAGGCATATAATTTGCTCTCGAGCAGGTGTTAAGCCGCTTTTTATAAAATCGACTTTCGTATGTATTTACAAATCCAAGACCTCATGTGGATACAAGGAGATTAAAACTTACTTATCTGGCAAATATCAAAGCAAAATGAATGATAAAATATACAAGCACTAAAGACATAATGAAAACATTTACCACGAAATGTTGCTTCAAGTTAAGGAAAATATAAATCAAAACAAAAGATGTTAAACAAATAAATCTGGTTAAAACCTATGAACGTACCGACTTTGAGTAGAGTGGCGAGCAACACCCAGACTGTTATGATAAAAGGCCTTGCAATATGTTCAAAATCTAATTTCGCCACTTTGATTTTGTGTTCATGACGACGAGGTTCATTCTTCTCACTTCCATTATGATTTGATGTATTTTGGTTCGTATTATTAACAGGTTTCTAATCCACGAAAACGACAAACTGATTACAAAATATAAACAAACTCAAAGTACATAAACAAATCGTTTCCACACGAGCATTCATCATAATTCCAGATGGTTTATCTGGAATCCATACTCGGTTTTCATTTGCCTTCTTTAAACAAAAAGAAGACCAAAAATACGTTTTTATTCTGAGCAACACCGGTTCTATTGTGAACTCGTCAAACAGCTATCATTAATATTTATCACTTCCTCAGAAATCAAAACTGCAACGTCAGCGGTTTAAGATGGAGTTGCCATTACCCGGTGGGGTAGTCAGCCCGTACAATTTTCTCGTAGAAGCAAGTTACCTTTCCGTATTCAATAAAAGTTCTGATTTCAACTACAATAGAGGGTACTTATTTCATGCACCTTGTAATACTCTTGATCATTACAACGATAGACTTAAAATTTGAATTTTTTTTTTATTTAACTAGAAATATTCTATATACAGTAGGTCAGCTCAATAATTTCCATTTACAAAACTAAATGACGCTAAGTAATACAATTAAGAGTCAAAACAAACGGATTTGTGTTCTTAATTAGCTGTTTATAACGGAGGAATAACACGAATGTTACTAAGGAAAGGAAGTAATAATGTCCGACATATTTTACTAAAGTAGATACTTTTTTCGATATAATTTTAGTATTGAAAAAACAGTCAGTGATGAATTTTCATAAACATAAGTTCCATAATCTAAGTTTTTATCAGATGAAAATTTCGAAATATATGTTTCTTTATTTATTACCTCTTTCAAATGTCTTTAACAGTTTTAATAAGTTGACTAAATTCAGTAAAGTGTCTAATTTTAGTCTTATCTTTAAGTACTTAAAACTTGCGTGTTTTCATGTTCATTAGGAATGGCTTTCATCTTTTTCTATTTCCGCTAACGAAAATATTGTTCATCCGTCTTCAATAACTATCAATAGTGCCTGGCAGTTACTGCTGAACATATGCCTGTACGAAAAGAACTAAAACTGATTTTTCAATGCTGAAATTATACCAATAAGTTAAAATCCAGACTCTGGACAAGTTTTCATTTCCAAAATTTATGCTTTAAGCAAGTCCTTTTCACAATATACCAGAAAATGTTGAAACTCGCATGTCAATACAATTTAGCGCTGAATGTCTACTCTTCACTATTGTAAAATTATTCTTAAGCCGAACGATTCGTCGACAATGACAGTCTGAGTACAATATATGATACTACGTAGCAAAGAGGGACAAACAATGGATTGAATTCTGGCTTGCGTGATTCCGTTTTGAAGCACTTCAACTATCTGTTGATGTTGTTTTTAACAGCATTACCGTTCACGTAATTATTCTCTTTTTTCTATAAAAATCGAGATAGAGAAATTCTAAGCAACTGTTCAACCATCAAAATGTAAAATCTCACATTGTACTACGTTCACTATCATCCCTTATGAAGAATTTCACTGCGCATGACTTGAAAATATATTTTGAAGCAAAAGCTACACATCTTTCATTTACAACATTTTGCCATCCCACATTAAAATTTAGGCATTGCGATTCGCAAACATGTCCTTTTGGCTCTTAAACATACGTAGCATTCATTTCAGTTATATAACTCATTTCTTACCTTACAGATGCAATTAAATTTCGTGACAATCCATAAAATTATGACGATGATTACGGCCAGCGTAAAAATGCCAAATATAGCACACAGTGCTAGTAAGACCTTTCTGTCTACAATCTCCTGGACACTTGTTGCAGTGGATATCCTACATTGAAACACCAAGAGTTAGTATGAAAGGAAAGTCATTGGAGTATCTGCTATGAGCTTCGGCTGAGCAAAGCCACGGGAAGCCAAGCAATCAGCTTGGAAGAAGGCACCCTGAAGAGAGCTATTTACAAAAATAAAGACAAAAAGTATGTGTATATTTCGTTAAGTGGATGCAGTGGATGTTTCTCATTTAGAGTCATTCGTGAAT